AACCCGGTCCAATATTTAATTGATCAAATTAATTAAATCTGGTCCATGAATTAATTAATCCAATTAATTAATTCGAGCCTATTAATAAACAACCCAATTAATTAATTATCCAACACTTGTCAATTAATCACATTCTTCTGATTCTCTTTTATGTGTGACCCATTAGGTTCCCGATCACAATGCCAAATGATGTGAAATATTATTTTGATCTAATCAAAATTGATAAATTAAAATACCCCTTTTAATTTATCACCAATTCACATTCGTCGTCCCAGATTGACATCTAGCAATGTGTTAGGGCAATACATTTGACGAGAAATGTCACGTAGTATGACAAAACCAAAGTTGGTCGTTTACCGTGAAACTATAATCTTTTCGTCAATATGATCCGATCAATTATGAGATATAGATATGTGTCAATCTCAATTATTGATAATATCTTTTATCTCACTGCTAAGTCAATATAAGTCGAAAACTTTTTTTCGACTTATGAGTTCACCTTGGTCAAGGATTTCATTATTAACTTAACTGGATAAAATGTAGATCATAATCTCTTACTATCTAAAAGTGACGAATCCTCTATTGATCATTCACAACCTTCATATGATTCTTGACATACCCGAACGATGCTGTATTAGCGACCCTTGACAGAGCAACATCCAACATCACCAAAGTATGACTGCCCTCATATAAGGTACTATGATGACCTCAAGTCAAAGGACCAATTCCACTACCGAACGTTAGAGATTAACCACTAACACTTAGATAGTTATCCATGTGGAATCTCTCAGCGGGTCTCCAATGTTTTGTTCTATAACAAAACATCCACGTGTTCATTCAAGTGTCACCACACTTTAGCTTGTGAGATCAGCTACTTACTTCACAAGTAAGAATGCCACACGCGATAGTCTATCCGTAATAACGATATCCGTATCTCGTTATTACTTCGACCACGGACGATTTAAGATTCAGTCATATGTAATTTGTATCTCACAATCACAACTCCTTGTGATTAACAAATCACCAAAACTTGAATCTACGGATTCTGTTATTGAATTTATTAGAATATTAATTCAATTAAATAATAGATATTACCATAGATATGCATCGAATATATATTTCAAGTGTTTATGTCCAAAATTGATTGGACGTAGGGCATAACACTTACAATGTATATAAGTAGATTTTAAAGGGATCAAGGGATCTCTGATATAATATACAGAAAGCCAATCATGATTTTGATTCTCATTGCTTTTGTGTTTCATCTCATTTTTTATTCAGAATAATATAACTTTCTAGTGCTTTTGCAGGCTATAAATTACTTTAGGCAAAAACTTCTGCAAAATGAATTTGTAGCAGATGGTCATTACATTGTATTGTAATTTTTCACCTGAAAAGGAGTACTCCAACCAATTGTGAATGCATATGCTGCACAATCATCTACACAGAATTGTGACATTCATTAGAAAGTTGGTATTGGGGAAAACACCAGTAAGAAGCAGAGTATGTTTCTTGCTACCTTGCATTCCCTTGTAGGATTTATCACACAACCAGAACTCCGTACTGGTCTCTGTAGAAAAGCCAAAAATCACGATAAGATTTTTCGTTTAGAAGTACAATGCATTTTTCAGCAGGTCATTCCTCCCCACACTTAGAGCCTGTTAGCATGGATCAAGTTCAAGATATAGATACTGATAGGTGCACAAGTTCAGTGTGAGTGTCCTCTGGCAATTTCCTGGAAGCAGGTATATAACATTTTCTTGATGGAGATTCAGAAACTGAAATCAAACCCTGAAATTGTGGGACCCTATCATGAAAAATTATGTTTTAAGTCCAGAAAATCTAACCTGAATATTTTCATCTTCCACTAAGTTGAGCACAAGCACATTCATTGATGGTCTAACGATGGTGAAGGACATCCTACCATCAAGAGTGTAATTGCTTCAACTTCTCAAGAACCTGCTTCATTGATGGCCTAACAGAAAGGGTTTCCCCAGTGCAACTTGATGCTAGCCTTAACATGGCCACCAAATTCTCCTGGGATCCCGATTCCCATAAATCGGGAGAAAAGAACTCAGAATAGCGTCCATCCTTGATCAGCAACTTGGCCCATGCAACAACTGTGAATCCATTCCCATATTCGGAGAAGGATGGATCGAGTGACTTCTTGCCTGACATCAGTTCCAAGAGCACAACACCATAGCTATAAACATCTGCCTTGTCCGAAACGCGACAAGTGGTTGCATATTCGGGAGCCACATACCCAAATGTGCCAGCTACATCAGTAGTGGCATGTGTCTCCGAGACTTCTAGAAGCCTAGCCAACCCAAAATCTGAAAGGTAGGCATTTAGTTCCTCGTCAAGCAGGATGTTGCTAGGCTTTATATCACGATGTACTATACGTGGAACACACGAATAGTGAAGGAAAGTAAGAGCCTGGGCAATGTCCATGGCTATCTTGTAAATGGTTGGCCAATGCTTATCCATGCCTGATTTTTGATGTATGAAGTGTTCAAGATTCCCACCAGAAAGAAAGTTGTAGACTAGAAACATTTCATCTTCTCCAACATAATATCCAAAAAGAGTGACCAGGTTCTTGTGTCGGATTCTTCCGAGTGTTCTTATCTCTGCATCAAATTGCTGGGTGCCTTGAAATCTACCAATTGAAAGCTTCTTCACTGCTACAAGGAAGCCTGGGACTAACTCTGCCTTGTACGTTGATCCAAAGCCACCAGTTCCAATCAAGTTGGCAGTGCCAAAATTTCCAGTTGCCCTAACTACATTATCGTAATTCAACTCCAGGGTTGCATCTGCAAAAGCTGTTACAACATTCCTATGCAGGCTAGCTACTCTTCTTAGCCTTTTCCTTCCAATGAGGAAAAAAGCTGTCACCACTAGAGCACAGAGCACAATAGGCACAGACGTGCATATTGCTATGACAAAAGATTTCACTTTTCTCTGGCCCCGTTGTGGTTTTTGGACTTCAGAAGGGATAGGAATCCCAGCAGGTGGTGCTGAATCTTGATCGGGGCATGAATGGAGAAATCTATTTCCCCTGAAGGAAGTGCAATCTGTAATGCGTGGAAAATGAGGTATGTGACCAGAAAGGTTATTGAAAGATAGATTAAGTTGAATAAGTCGGGAAAGGGTTGAAAGGGAAAAAGGGATCCCTCCCGATATATTGTTGTGATCCAGCAACAACATTTCAAGACTCGTGGCATTGGCCAGACTTTCAGGGATGGAATTAGTTAGCCCATTATAAGATAGATTCAAAGTTTCAAGGGAAGCTAAATGGCCAAATTTAGCAGGAATTTTTCCTGTCAAGTTGTTATCTCCAAGAAGAATCTGTTTGGCATTTTTCAGTTCCCCTAATTGATTGGGCAGGGAACCAGATAACCTGTTGCTGCTCAAGTCTAGACATTGGAGCAATTCCAAGTTCCCAATCTCTGGGGGAATGGATCCCTCAATCTGATTTTCTGCTGCTTCAAAGTCAATTATTCTCAAGCACCCAGAGAATTTGGCATCTAAAACTCCATTTATCTGGTTTGCACTAACCGTAAGGAAAAGGCTATGGAGATCATTACAGTTTGTAATGAGATCAATAGGAAAAGTTCCATTAAAATTGTTATTGTTGAGAAACAACTTATAACTAGCTCTACCACGAGTGAGCAAAAAATCATCTCCAACTGAGAAGAGCGGCAATGGACCAGCAAAAGCATTCCGACTGAAATCATGTGCAACAACAAGAGTACTATCAAAGTCTACTGCTGCAACCACATTCATCTGATAGCCGCACACCGGTATATTGAAGTAAACTTCTTGAATGTCCACCTCATCTAAGACACTAGTTTCATCTCGACCATAGTATGCCATGTGAAAATCACAGCCACCCCTATTCTCGAATTGGGGAAGAGCACCAGATAACGAATTCCGGCTGATGTTGAAGTACAGCATACAAGGTACTCGCAGCTGCCTTGGAAGGTATCCTTGCAGTCCATTTGAACTCAAATCCAAGACTGTCAGATTTCTACACATGACACCCAAACTCTCTGGTACAGAACCAGTAATATTATTCAACCCCAAATTAAGGGCTCTCAAAGAGCATGAATGGAGATTACTCCAGTTACTGGGCAATTGTCCCCCAAGATTCGCCCTTGGTGCCCACAGTATCTGAAGATTAGGAAGCAACAAGAGCTCGTGAGGGATGCCTCCATCAAAGGCATTGAATTCCCCTCTCGAAAAGTCCAGCACAGACCCTGCACTTCCGTTAGCACCGACATAAAATGAAGAGCCTAAATCAACCAAATTGGTGAGCACCACAACAGAGAGCTTGAGGGAATTGGCAAGCTCAGGCGGAATTGTATCTGTGAGACTATTCCTAGAAACATCCAGCACCCTAAGTTGAGAAATCTGGCCTATCTGTATCGGAATTCTACCCTGAAAAATGTTTCCGTCGAGCAAGAGAGTCCTCAGATTGGAGCATTTTCCTATCTCAGGAGGAATTTCATTCACCAAGAAATTGTTAGACAGCTTCAAACATTGCAAAAACTCGCAATGATCACTAACAGTAAGACCCCCAGAGAGCTGATTATTCGATAAATCAATCACACTTAACCTCCCTGAACCAATCAAACCATTGGGTATAGAACCCGAAAGCGAATTATACGACAAATTAAGCAGGCGAAGTGACGAAAGAAATCTTATCTGATCGGGAATGCTCCCGGAGAAATTACACCCTTGAAGTTCCAAAGTGTGCAAAGACTTGAGTTTTCCGAGCTCCGGCGGAATATGGCCGGAGAACGAGATACGATTGAGTGATAAAACTCGAAGGTTAGTCAGATTGCCAATAGAAGGTGGCAGCACACCGAGAAGACCTCCTCCAGTGAGGTTGAGGGAGACGACGGTGGCAGAAAGCGGATCACATGAAACCCCATACCAGCGGACGACGGCGGCGGCAGAGCAGGGATGTGTTAAGGCGTTCCAGGTGAGAAGGAGATTGTTGGGATCGTGAAATATTGAATCTTTGAAATTCAGAAGGCATAATGCATCGTCTTGTGATTGATTTGAAGAAGAAAGGACAGCAGTAGAAATGGAGAAAAGGGCAAGAAGCAGCCATGAAAGAAGGTCCATTGTCATGAAATTAGTCAAATGAAACTGTGAAAGATGAGCAACCGCCTTTGAAGCTTTACAACGAAGGAACGGACAAATCCTTACCAACTAGTGCTTTTAGCAAGCGCATGTTTGGTGGGCTTTTTTTTTATTTTTTTAAAAATATATACGGATGGTTAAAACATAGTGAAAAATTTTGAATTTACACATAAAATATTTTATTGCTTAAATATGTGGTTAAAAATAAGTACGTTCTGAAAAATTAAGAGACAAACATGGACTAAGAAATTGGTACAATCCTACTCTATGAAATTGTCATGTTTTAGTAGGGATGGCAACGGGGCGGCCCTTCCCGCCCCCCGCTCCGCTAAGAATTTCCCACCCCATCTCATTACTCGTTTATGGCGAGGCAGGGCGGAATCCTTTCCCCATTTAAATTTTTTTTTATATAATTTATTTTTATTGCCCATATTCATTAGATTTAGACAAATAATTTTAATTGTTATTTTCTATTAGAACTAATGAAAATTTTCATTTAAAGTATTGAATTCTAAAAAAAAAAAAA